ATTTCCAAATGAGGTCACATATACAGATACCAGGGGTTAGAACTTCAACATCTCTTTTTGGGGGACACAGTTCAACTCCTAACACATACTTTCAGATCAAGGAACCTCTATACTGCCCTTGCTTTAGTAATTACCCTATATTAAATACATTCACCACCCACCTGGCTGATACCCTTCCTATATAAAATGTCTGTAAGTAGGAGGCTTTAGGTTATGTAAAACCAATTAAGTCATGACTGTAAGTTCTGCAGTGAGATCAGTTAACATATTTTAGCTCTATTTTGGATTGAGAGCAGTTAGAACTAAGTATCCCGGCTATTGGCAGTAAGAGAATCCCAGTATGATGTAGGTAGGTATTGCACATCCTTAGGAAAACATACAGCCTCATGATATTTTGATAAAGATGGAAACAACACCTTTGTAAGATGGTAAAAACTTAAAGAATTGTGCAGCCAAGCAAATCTTGTTATGGGCTTGCTTACTGGCTTTTAAAAGTGGGAGAGTTGGAGGTAGTTATGGTTTCCATGGTATATTCTGCCAGTGATGGCTGTGTTTGAGCATCTGCCACATAGAGCCAGCGTCTGTGCCAAGTTCCAGCTTACCCTCACCTAGTCTCCCCACGGAGAGCAGCTCAGTGGGTCGTGCTACTGAGTGATTCTCATGGCAGATCCCAGGAGGAGTGACGTCCGGGCTTACAGAGGTGGAACCTGAGTTTCCAGGAGGCGAAAATGTCCCTGAGGTCTCAGAGGTGTAGGTGGTGCCAGGTCTGTCTGGATTCCAGACATTCAAGGGGCTCCTCCGTGCACTGTCCCCCATGGTCAGCCTCCTGAAACACAGAGGTTAGCCTGTCACTACTGTTGCATATTTTACATCCAAAGCCTCTCAGCCTCATTCAGTGATTGGAAATAAAACATTAAGTAACTGTTGGGGGAATGGTAACGGGGATCTGGAAGATCTCAGATTCAGTGTTATTCCTCTGCTTGGAAGAGTTACTAGAGTTGTGTTTGGATATTCTCATTTTCTCCCTTGCTTATGAGGTAGGATTGCTCTTTCTTGTCCCCTGTGAAGGTAGGTATGGCCATGTGTCTTGTTTTGTCTAAAGAAATAGTAGCGGAAGTAACCCCTGGGTCCTTCCGCAGAGGTTCCTATAGCAGGTGTGAAATGCACATTGTCCCAGCACAAGTGGGTGTGGGGTCGGGGGATAGGGGAGAGAGGAGCCTCTTTCTGCCTGGCTCCAGGTCCCTGAGCGACTATGGTGAGCAAAGGCCCTGCCAGCTCAGCTTGGATGAGGAGATGAGCAGAATGTGCAGCAAAGAGACTCTGATTGTGTTAAGCCCCTGAGGTTTTGGAATTCTGTATCTGCTGCATATTCTAGTTCAGCGGTTCTCAACCTGTGGGTCGCGACCCTTTGGGGGTCAAACGACCCTTTCACAGGGGTCGCCTAAGACCATCGGAAAACACATATATAATTACATACTGTTTTTGTGATTAATCACTATGCTTTAATTATGTTCAATTTGTAACAATGAAATTGGGGGTCACCACAACATGAGGAACTGAATTAAAGGGTCGAGGCATTAGGAAGATTGAGAACCACTGTTAGTTCACTGTGGCTGATTCAACAAATTAAAGAACATAACATATAAAGTGGAAGTTCACCAAGAGTTTCCAGTAGAGACAATTATTTGAAAAATAACTCTTTAAAGCTTCTTGCAGGAGACCCTCTTACCATCTCTAAAGTATTAAAACGAAAAGCCTGAAGAACAGCTTTGCTGCGTGAAAGTTTGGAAGCCAGAGCAGTATTAAATTCCCGGGATGGTTGGATAACCATCTCGTTCTGTGACATTATTTTTGTCCTTCTGTATTGCAAACGTTGGTCCACCAAGAAATGTTTGTTCATTGTTCTTGCACTAAAGAAAATAATTTGACAGGTAAGGAAGGAGGAGGAAATTGGTGGTTGGGAAACCAGAGGACACAGGGAACAGTGACACCTTTATCCAGGCAGCACCAGGAGAACAATAACAGGGTTTTACTCTTAATTTCTGTTGCAAGAGGAGCATGCGTTAAAGACAGATCTTCTATTACATTTAGTATCTTGTTTCTAGCCTGGAGTTGCAGGCATAACCCGGCTTTAAATTCTGCTTTGCCTTGCAGTTACTCTGTTGAGTGTGTGAAAAGTCTTTGTTTATTCATGATGGCTTGCACTTATATCTCACTCTACAGACAATAAACTCCGTTTTTAACGAACAAAGCCACGGTTTTAGAAACTGAGAGATGTTGCAACTTGACAAGAGACATTTTCCTACATTTCCCCTAGAGTTGGAATAAGATAAATGACAATGGATACTGAGGAGTTTATTAGATTTCAGGAAATTTGTAAGATTCAGAATATTGGTGATCTGCCATATATTTACTCTGCCTAGTTTAATCTTTGACCCAACATCAACTTTCATTTGATATCCTACTATTTGTTATATTACTATTTAAACATTTCTCTGACATAAACTTCATTGAGATAAAAGGAGGCGTTGCCTCTTAAACTAGGGTCAAACGGTGTCACACCGTTTATTAGGAGTACTAATAATTGCAAGACTTTTATGCTTTTAGCATAGGAAGAATAATTTTCCAGTATTTTGGTCTTTTAAGATGTAACATGTATGAGGTCATTTTTGTCATTTTAATATTCTTCTCGAGAATATTGTAACTAATATCAACTGTAGAGATGATCTAGTTCGGGAATCCTTGTTTCCTTGAAGGGGAATCTTCTTCAAACATTACCTGGCGTGGCATCCAGAATGCAATGCAGATTCTTAAAACAATAAAATTTTATCATTTCAAACATACTTACTATTGGGTCCATTGGTGAGGGGGAAACGACTCGTGAACAACAGAAAGACTACATTTAAAGGGACCTTGGCCTTCACTTTGTATTTTGTTTCGTGTGGCAAGTATTTGAATTACATGGTAAATGGCTGCAAGTGGTAACAGTTTTTATGGGTGTGTTTTACAAGGTGCACTCTTAATCCTTAGGCGATTCCAGTTTTGTAGGACCACAGAAAAGTTAATGCAATAGCACAAGTTAATGAAATGTAAAACTGTTGAGCTTGAGTGTTATTGTTTTTTAAATTTAGCTTTATGGTAGTTAACAAAAAAAAATTACAGAATCCCCAAATCGCATCGAGTAACATTTGAAAACTACTAATTATGCTCTATGTAACAGTATCTCTAGTATAGATTCTGGTTGTACTATTTATTTTTTTAGAAAAATTGTCAAATATTGGAGAAAATGTGAAAAGAGTAGGTTAGCATGAGTTAAATACTTATTAAAAAATAAGGTGTGTTCTGGAAGTTGCAGAAATTTTTTTAAAATTTACATTTTACACAATAGTAAGAGTGATTGCCAATTCAGCCCACAAATATCCCATAAGTGACTTAAATAATAATATTTAGCTATCTTTTGATTATATATGCACTTTTAAATTTGCTTGGCATTCTATTTGTGTTTGGTTTTGTTTTTAAATTCTCATCAAGGGATGTGTTTATTGATTTTAGAGAGAGAAAGGAAAGGGGGGAGAGAAAGAGAGAGATATCAATTGATTATAGGCACCCCAACCAAGGGTGGAACTCCCAACTTAGGTATGTGCCCTGACTGGGAATCAAACCCACAACCTTTTGGTGTATGGGACAATGCTCCAACTAAATGAGGCACCTGGCCAGGGCTAGCTTGGCATTCTAAAGATCCTCATGGCTATTTCAGTGGGCTTTTTAAAACTCTAATTTGTAGCCCTGGATTGGAAACTTTCCACTCCCACTGTGTGGTAGCTAAGGAGAGTGAGGTTTTTTTATTCCCTGGTTGGAGAATTTTTATCCGTGTACGAACGCAACTACTGCCTCCTCTTTGAAGAAGAATCATAGATCCCAGTGTTTGAAAGGAATTCTGAAGGTGGCCTACTTTGGTTCTGTGCTTTTACATGGTTTTGTAAAGCTGTGCAAAGAGGAAACTTTCCCAAAGCAAACACATTTGGCACTCCTTTAGCAAGCTGGATATTTAAAGGAACCCGTGGCAGATACTTTTGCAAGGCAAATGCTCCTCTAAGGTGGCATCTGGGTAGTGGGAAAGCTCCTAGGGCTTTATTATTTTTTTTTAAATATATTTTTGTTGATTTCAGAGAGGAAGGGAGAAGAAGAGAGATAGAAACATTAATGATGAGAACCATTGATCGGCTGGCTCCTATACGCCCCCTACAAGGGATTGAGCCTGCAACCCTGGCATGTGCCCTGACCAGGAATCAAACCGTGACCCCCTGGCCCACAAGTGACACTCAGCCACTGAGCCACGCCCACCTAGCAGCTCCTGGAGTTTTAAAAAGCCTTTGGAACTTGGCTGCACTCCCCCACTGATGACAGATTAGTGCAGTGGGTCCTCCTTGAGGACAGTGTCCAGTCTCTAAGCAGCCAGTGGCCCCAGTCCCCCTGTGATCCAGGGCATCAGGCCTCCTGTTTACCTGCCACTCGATGGTGCCAGGCATTCCTCTGTGGCCTGGCAGGCATCTCAGACTGCCACCAGCTTCATATTAAATTCGGCACAATGACTATAGGCTGTTTGGCACCCAAGTTAAAATGAGAACTACAAATGAGAGTGTTATCACCAGTGATTTCTCATGCCACTTCCAGCTGACGAGTCTAGGAAACAAGCCTAGCACGAGGATTGGTTGTGGGTTTTGATGTGGAATTACATAGGCAGTTGTGTGTCAAAAATTGACGCGGAGGGTTGCTGTGAGGTCTGAAGGTGGTCCCTGTAAAGTATAGGAGCTTGGCATGGAGTGTGTAGTAGTTGCTGTACTAATTCTTAGTCATTTTTATCATTTCATTTTTAATACTATTATTGTTTTAAAGTCTTATTATGCCTAGGAAAGTGTTACCAGAAGCGGTAAATAGAGAGGAGTAAAGGCCTTTGGTTCCTAACGCCCTTTCTGCGTCCTGTCCTGTGCCCCCTGCAGAGTGTGATCAGCTGCGGCGGGATGGCCACCGGAGCTCTCAGTACTACTCCCAGGGACCCACCTTCGCCAGCTCCGGTCCACCCAGCGATGAGTATCCAGACGAGGATGATGAAACAGATCAGAAGGTAAGGCTTCTAAATTCACCATGGGATCCCAGAACAGAAAAAGGAGATAAGTGGGAAAACTGGTGAAATTAGAACAAAGTGTGTGTGCTTTTTAGTTTAATAGTATTATCCCAAGCAGACGGCTTAGTTTTGATAAGTGTGCCATGGTTTTGCAGCACATCGACATTAAGGGAGACTGGGTAAGGGTACACAAGGAATTCTCAGTACTATCTTTCGTAAATATTCTCGAGGGCTAAAATTAGCCTGGAAAGAAAAAAAGTTCCTGATCCAAAGAAGTTATTAAAGGAGTACAATCAATATATTTGTGCATTTTGAATACTCTCTTTTGGGTAAAAGAAATAAAGTATCTTATTTCTGTTGTTTCGCTTTTTTCATGTGACCAAGAACCTAGTGAAATTACAAAGAAGAGCTCTAAGTATAGCAGCAGAGATCCAGCATGGGCAGTGCTTTTACTTAATATGATAGCGCTGGGCTGTTCGCTTTTGTGATATTGTTTCGTATCTGCATTCCTTTTTCTCACGCCATCTTTTGTGATATGTGCAAACTACTTAAGACAAATATATTTCTCGGTACTAAATGCACACGAAAGAATAAAAATGTATGGAGATTTTTAACTTACATAGTTTTATTTTTCATTTTATTAAGAAATGTTGACTGACACAAATCACCTAAACAAATAAGGTTTGATGAACAGGGTTTGCTTTAAAAACCGTTTTAAATTAACCTAAGAAATTTCAGTGGAATTTAGGTCAATACATCAAAGTCTTATTGTTTGGAGAACATTATTTAGAATTTATTATCCTCTCTCAAATAAGTAACATCAGAGAAAAAAAAGTAGATAACAGTTATTCAAAAATAGAAAATTACTACCTTAAATTTTTGGTTTTCTAATGAAGATTGAACCCAGGTTTTTATTACAGAATTAGAGGCCCCGTGCAGGAATTCATGCACCAGTGGGGTCCCTCAGCCTGACCTGCAGGATTGGCCAAAACCAGCTCTCCAACATCCCCCAAGGGGTCCCGGATTGTGAGAGGGCACAGGCCAGGCCGACGGACCCCACCGGTGCATGATCGGGGCTAGGGAGGGACACAGGAGGATGGCCAGCCAGGGAAGGACCACTGGAGGGCTCCAGGGCGTGTCTGGCCGGACTCCAGCAGCAAGTTAACCTACCGATCGGAGTGTCTACCCACTAGTGGTCATGTACATCATAGCAGCTGATTGATTGTCTGCCCCTGGTGGTCAGTGCAAGTCATAGCAAGTGGTTGAGCGGCCTTAGCATATCTAAATATATATAAGCCCAGCAACCATTATGGCAGAACCAGAACTACTGGTCACTATGGCCGCACTGACCACCAGGGGGCAGATGCTCAATGCTGGAGCTGCCTCCTGGTGGTCAGTGGGAGCACTGCTCAGGCAGAAGCCAGGCTCACGGCTGGTTAGTGCAGCGGCAGTGGTGGGAGCCTCTCCCACCTCTGCGGCAGTGCTAACGAGTGGTGAGCCAAGGGGTAAGGAGCGAGCAGACAAGGAGCGAGCAGTCGGTTCAGTTGGGAGCGAGGGGTCCCGGATTGCAAGAGGGCACAGGCTGGGCTGAGGGACCCCACCCTCCACCCCCATGCACAAATTTTGTGCACCGGACACTTGGCATATTAGGCTTTTATTATATAGGATGTCTTTCCTATTTCTGTAAAGGTGTTTGGACATATTAGGTTAATCCTTTGAAACTATAAAATACACAAAGAAAGTTTCTTACTATAATAGGAAAGCAGTTATTTCAAAGTTGACCTGGTCTTTAATTTTAAAAGCCTATTTTTTTCTCTTGTTGATATGAGTAAGAAAAATTAAAAAAATCAGATGATGAATTATATCATGAGGGTGTTGTTTTGATTTAAAATTGTTTTCAGGTTTATTGAAGTATAATTGAGAAATAAAATTGTATCTAGTATGATGATTTGACAAAAGTATATTTTATGAAATGATCATCACACTCAGGTTAATGAACACATCCATCCCCTCACATAGTTACCGTGTGTGTGTGTGTGTGTGACAGAGAGAGAGAGAGAGAGAGAGAGAGATGAGAGTGCTGAAGGTCTATTCTCTTAGCAAATTTCAAGTACACAGCACAGTATCATGTACTGGAGTCACCATGCTGTACATTAGATCCCAAGGAGCTTGCTCATCGCAGACTGAAGGCCCGTACCCTTTGGTCAGTGTCTGTCCATCTCCTTCACCTGTGAGATTTTAAAAACCCAGCTATACTTCAGCCTTTCTGTGGTGCTCAGGGAAGGGGAGCATTTAGTTTACAGTGGGACCCGGAGAGACAGGTGGTTTCTGGGTGCAGCCTAGGGAGTATGCAGAGTCCCCAGTGCAAATCGGCAAATTGGCATTCCAAGACCACAGATCTTCCTGGGAAATGGAAGCGTAATTTCTAAATTCTCACACAGCTGTTTAGTTCCCAGGTGCTCACACCTGAGAGAAGTTCAGTCTCTGTGAACGAGTTTCTACTCTTACGCGCATTGGCACGGACCCCTCCAAGCAGCCTCTCCCAAACGTGCGACAGAGTGTGGACAGGTCATTGGCCCTTATAAAACAAGGCTCCTGTCCTGTTGGAAATAAGTCAGGGATAATGATCACACACACACACACACACGCACACACGCACACACACACGCACACACACACACACACACGCACACGCACACACACGCACACGCACGCACACACACGACATGGCATGTCCTAGTAAGCATAAGAAGTACCTTATTCTATCATTTCTCGGCAGTTTAACATCTGATACGGATTTTTTGAGCAGGGAGATGGAACAGGAGTTCGCTCCATCCACAAATTTCGAGCCTTAGCTCTGCCACTTGTTTGTACCTCGCTCTCCCTCTCCCTTCCTCTCTAAAGTCAACAAACACATATTTTTTTAAAAGGATAAGATCTATATGAAAAAATTCAAATACTATAGAATACCACAAATAAGATTTGAATAAATGAAAAAACATATGCTCTGAGATTAGAGGACTCAATATCAAAAGCTGTCAGTTCTGCCCATGTTAATTTATAACATTAACACAATACCAATAACAACTTGAGCAGTTGGTTTGTTTTGGTTTGGAGTTATTTGAGGGGTGGAGGGAGGAGGGAGGGACTGAAGAGGCTGGATCTGAGGTTCATACCTGGACAAGCTGTGCAACTGAAGAGCAGTGAGGAAGGAAGAGTGGCAGGTGCTGACCCATGGAGTCAGGAATTACTCCAGTGTGGCCTCTGAATGTACAGACGAGTAGGACCAAACATTAAAAACAGTATGTAAAGTTCAGAAATAGACCCTAGTCTGCATGGGATTTAGTACCTGATCAAGTTGGCACTTGAAATCAGGTGGGAATCCAGTAACTATAAAGGGCTCCCAGCCAGCAATTTATGGTCTCCATGTTAAGACCAAGGCCCCTAACTACAACTCATGTTCTTAGTAGTGGCTCTAACAGTTGGGGTCATTGTTAAGTACAGAGTTTGTAGAAGTCAGATTGGAGGGGAAATTCTATTGGGAAAACCCTTTTCTTTGTATTTCCTAGATAGGCGGTGGGGATGGAGATGAAAGGTGAGGAGACCAGTGGACTGTCTTTAGAAGGGACACATGAGTTAAATGTTTAGGCTACAGATGCTCTGACATCAAAAGCGGTGCTTAGAACAAAAGCTTTACTCACATTCAACAAATACTGAGCATTTGTTATATATTTAGGACAGAAGCCCTATCCTAAAATGAGAGTTGCTAATAAGGTGAAGGTTAAGAACATATAAATTAGAACAGAGAACCTAGAAGACATCTGTTCTGGTTATTTATTCTGGATAATTATTTTAGAATAATAAATGCAAAGCATTTGCCAAGTAAACCTCAAGTTTATGTTATGAAGAAAGGTATTTTGCTAATGATATCCATATATGTCTTTCAAAGTGATGATGTAGTGTGACAAGAAAAACTTGTTTGAAGTGTTTTCAACTATATATGTTCTGTACATCATCTAAATATTAAACATGCTGCATGAAAAATGCTGTCTGCAAAGGGATGTAGGAATCCACAAAATACTTTTTATTCATCCGCAAAATCAGAGAGTAAATCATTACTTTAGTGTTGTTCTAGTCTTGACATTTCTGTTCTGTTCTTTCAGTTTTCATTGTGTGCCAGGTACTACTAAAGAGGTTATTCAGGTATTTGAAGGAAGTTCAGCTATAGATGCCAAAATACATCCTGAGTCGATAGGGCATTTCTCCAACTGCCATTGTCGGAGGTTATATTTGATGATATGTTCACCAAGTCACAGAAACGTTCATAGAGGCCCCATTGTCTCAGCAGAAAGCATGTCAGTCATGAGTTACTCAATCTCTTGTGTAAAATTCACCCCAAACAGATAAATGAGGCTGGGATTATGGCAATAAACAGTTGGCTTTAATAGTATTGATAGAAACTGAAGTTTTCTTTCCTATTTCCTGTTATTCTTTGAACTGGCATCTCAGGGTTTGTTTTAGCCTTCCATGATAAGAGATATTTGAATCAAAGGAGGACTTTGAAGAATACAAAGGATAGCAGCCTTGCTCTGTAACTGCAAATGGAGGCTTACATAACATGATGCTTGAGAGTGCTGGTCTGGGCCAGCTTTCCCACCTGTCCGTGGCAGCAGTCTTGGCTAAATTGCTCGTGAGCTTCAGTTTCCTCAACTGTAAAGAGTTATAAACCACATGTTCTGGTTTTCTCAGGACAACCCTGGTTTACAGCTGCTGTCCTGTGTAATTATTAATAGCACCACCTTCATGCTAAAAGGCAGTCAATAAAAGAATAGATCAACCAGAGGACTTGTATGCATGCATATAAGCCAAACCAATAGACACAGACACCAGGGGGATGCGGGCATGAGTGGGGGCAGGGGGGAAAATGGGGGGATAAGGACATATATGTAATACCTTAATAAAGAAAAAAAAAGAGTGGATAATAAATGTGATATTAGAAT